TGAGGAACGATCAACCTTTCGATTTTTTTAATTTTACGACGGTAATTAGGCTAGCGAAGGTCTATTACGTATTTGCAGTTGATCTATTTTGCATTCTCCTTCTCTGATCATTAATTATTAAATATCGACGAAAAGTAATTTTTTTACTGTTCTTCTTCCATCTTATAAAATTTAATTGAAAATTAAATTTAAATTTAATAAATGGAAAGTTTTAGTATAAATTATGATAATATGAATAGTAGCGAATCAAAAGATTGAATAAGATTAAATAAAAATTCTAAATAAATTCCATGTAACTCTCTGATATAGAGTAATGATATTTGATATCTGAAATGATAATCAAGTTAGTTAATTTTAAATTATTCATAGACATCTATCTAAAATGTATATATATATATATATACTATTTAAATTATTTGCTTAAGTATTGCAAAATATCATATAGTCTAACAATTAAATATGTTCAAAAAATTTATATACCTACAATATGATCGATGAAATTAATGTATTTAGAGACATGGTAAATATCGTATATTTGACATAGTAACATTTGATTTAAATCGGCCGACACTATGCTTTTCTCTTTTTGACACAAGTAGTTTAATCTTGTTTTCTGTTGGCCTAAATACTGATTCCACTAAATTCTTGAATGTCTAGCACGCACGTTAACATATTGGAACTTTCATTGTATTGAATATCGTATAAGGAACGATGTTCCTTGAGTAGATGATTCAATTGTTTTCGTTTCTTTGATTTATATATTTAATTGGAAAGAAATATCTTAATTAGATCCTAATTAAATATATTGCCAATTGAATTCGGATATCTGTATGTGAACTTCTATTATTTGAAAAGAATCAATGAACTAATTAAACTCTAATTACAAAAAATGAATTATTATACATTTTTGTTACAATTTTTTTCTGATTCATAAATTTTTAAGTATAATGTAATAAATAGAACTTTGATCTCAATATTAAAAGATATAATTAAACGTTAAAATTATTTTAAAGGAAATAAAAAAAAAGAAAATAAAATGAACGATACAATATAAACAATGGAAAAGAATTTTAATTATCGATTATTGATATCGATATATGATATCGTATTAATTAGATAGTTTTCGATATATCAATATTATCCTTAAGATATCGTTGATAGATAAAAATGATTAGAATTAGTTTTTGCTTTTTTTTATTAAGATATTTAAAAATATTTGTATTAAATAATAAAATAAATAGTTTTTATTAATAATATTTATTAAAAAATTATATTTTTTCAGTTACTTATATTCATATTAATGATATCGATCTAACGATTCGATATATTTTAAATATATCGAAAATGATGTATGAATAATGAAATATCGATAATTCATAAGTAATTGTTAGAAAGATTTCTAATAATAAATTTAAATAAAAAAAATAGAAATTTCGATATTCAATCGATCGATAATTCCATATATTCGAATCGATATTTTAACGATATTATTGATATATCGAATTATTGATGTTTCATTTTTGATGCTCCAAGATTTTTAATAAAACTTTCTATATTACGATCTGTTGCCTCTCTTTCTTTTTTATTATTACATTTTAAATTACGCACGTTTTCATAATTACACTATAATTGTACGTGAAATTTTTCATTCGATTCGTAACATTCGTTTCACTTACGTATTCGTGATTGTTCGTCTAAATGCGTGCGAAAGTCTATTAGAAGGCCTATAATCCTATATAAAAGCGGATGATGCTTTCTCTTAACGATTTCGACGAATATTATAAATTTAAACGATTTGACGAATATCATACTATAAATCTCAATGATATCGACTAATATTGTAAATTTGTATACATAACGTTACGAAGCATTAGAAAAATTCCTTGATCTATTTTTTTTATCTATTGAGATATTTTGTTACGTAAAATCTAGAAATTTAATTCTTCTTTATTCTTTTATTATTTTATTATTTGATTGACGTATTGTAAATTTATGTGATAAGTTAGTAATATATAATCATAATAATTATAAAAAAATGTTGTTTATAATTATATTATACATATAATATAATAAATAATATTAGAGTAATATTAATTGTAATAATTTTTATAAAATGTTCTAAGAAAATTTTCAATAACTAATAAGAGAATCATAATAATCAAATATAATTGATAGATAAATAATATTCAAATAATATTCAGTTCTTATTGAAATTAGTTCTTATTGAAGAGCGCTAATTAATTCAATTCTTTTTACATTCTTAGAATATCAAGTCGTCAAGAGAAATTCCAATGTCTTTATAATTTTTTGTAATTTTTTTCATATAATTTTAAAATATATATATACTATATAATATTTATTGTGGTTTTTGTCACATAATATTTGATAAATTATTTAAAAAATTTCTTTCATTAAAAAATCGAAACTAATTTCGATTAGGACAAATATTTTGAAATTCCGTTAGAAAATTCTTTATAGTTTTTTCATTCGCATTCTGAAATCTTCCGATTTCTTTTCGAAATCATTCTATATTCTACTACAAATATCTTTCGATTTATTCCACTTTCTCGTAGTTTTCGAATCTACGATTTATACAAACACAATGGTATACGTAAATACCTGTCACATCACAGCCAACAATGAACCATGGTAATTGTAATTCCTAAAGCCATCATGTCCAGTAGCGCGTCCACTGGCAGTGGCGTGTCGTTTTCCTTGCGAATGCCACGATCGTTTCTGTTTCTTTTTTCTCCTCTTTCTCGAGAACACTCGCGGTGAGTTCACTGGCGTCGCGGTAAACGTGTTTCCGTTCACAATTTTACAACGTTATTGCAAAAATCGAAAGTACGATTAACTTACAACGATTAACGAGAAATTTTTACCACGTGCGACTGCCGTCACGTAAAAAACGTTTGAAAATTTGTTTCAGGTTATACTTACAAGAAGTTTCTACCTGTTGCGCGAAAATTTAGGTTACCGTTTAAGTGAAAAAATAACACTGGTTGTATATTCGTTGAATTCTTTGCTAAGGTTCGATACGAATTGAACGGATATATTTAGAAACGTTCGAACGTTGCAAACGTCACCCGAGTCTCTCTGAAGGGAACGCTCACCTGAGCTGAAACTTGACAGCCAAGAATTCGCCTTTGCGCGGTGCGCTGATGCGTCTGCGCATTAATACCCATCTCTCCTAAAACATCGTCACGTGCTTCTGAGTCAGTCCACGCTACACGTTGGTCACTGCACTACCAGCATCGTGTGTTGAAAGGCAATGAAAATAAAAAAAAAAGTAAGAATGATTAGATGTGAATCCCCGCGAACGCATAAATATCTTTAGAAAAGTGAATAAAATGATTTGACTATTCTTACGAAATTTGTTTGGTGAGTATTTTTTCCTTAATATAATGATAAATTGATTTCTATGATGTAAAAAAACCTATTCTTGTTTCTTGAATTATTTCGTAGAACTCTTTCAATTTTCCTCTCTTTATTTAATTTCATTATATAATTAACGATTTATCATATATCAATATATTTTTTTCTATATAAATACTATTATTAATTTAAATCTATAAATAAAAAAAAAGAAATATATACAGATTTTGTTATTTACATGAAACTGAAAAAAACTATTCAATTGAGGTTATATTTTACAAAATTATCATTAAAATTTCAATGATAAAATACATATGGTAATATTTCTTAATACAAAAAATTGTATTTTATAAATTTTTTAGAATCTTATAATATGATGTTTTTTTTATATAAATGTTTATATAAATTTTTTATAAAAAATTTTACTATGTAAATTTTAGAAGAGATTATTAGTTTTATTGTTAAATTCATATCTTTTATGAAATAGCTTGAAATTGGTATCAATCATCCAATTTTTGCTTGTTAAGGATAATTTTCGAAACGATTTTCAAATTGTTGTTGCGATAAAAAAAAAAACAAATTAGAAATTGAATCAAAGGATGTCTCTTAATTAGCAGGGTAAAAACATAACGTTTAAATTTCTTAAACAAGATTCAGATTACTAAATACGTAGATCTGAAATCATACTCTTAAGTGTCATTAGTATGTAATGACTTTATATCACTCTTTATATTAAAATGCATGTAAGTTTCATATAAAAAAACTTAAAATTAAAATATAGAAAACTAAAAAAATTGAAAAAAATTGTTTATATTTTTAAATTAATTTTTTTATATTTTTTAATTATTATTTTTTTAAAATAGTAGATATATTATAGATACAAAATCAAAATTTATATTCTATACAATTCTTGACCTAAATAAATTCTTTTTATTTGAAGAATAATCTTGTTCCTGTCAGAACGAAGAATTCTCTTCAAGGTAATTAAAAACGAATACATATATACATTGCTTAACAATATTGATAAATTTGCATCTAATAAACATATATATGTATATATATTTACATTTTAAATTTACTATTTTTTAAATTAAAGATAAATATTTTTAATTAATTTATTAAAAAATTGATTCAACGAATTCGAAAATATATATATATATATTTGAAAAAATAATTTTAATAAAAACTATGAAAAATTTATTTTTTATTGCTAATCTGTAAATTATTATTTAATTCAGATCGATTGCGTTATTTATTATTATGTAAATATAAATTGTCCAGAATAATTTATCAAAATGATGTAATGAATAATTTGGATGTTACTCACATGATTACACTCATTCCTTTAATGTTGAGCAATGTTTTTTCATGTGTTAGACATAATAACATATATTATATAATTTTTCATTAACATATATTTTTCTATTTAATAAGTAATAAATAAGCATAAAAAAAAATTCTACGAATGAATAAAATTCGAAAAATTTGAATTTTAAATTAAGAATTTGTAAATTATTCTAAATTAGCATAACATAGCATAAAGCATGGCTTACAAAAATTATTATAACATAGTTATTAAAATTCTTGGTTAATGAAAGCATTTTTTTAAATAAAAATTCTTTTATCATGATAATATTAATTACTATTTATCAGTTATACATATACGTTACATAATTCGGTCGGTAGTCGCGTGGGATCATTAAGGATAAACTCAGATGCCTTCTTTATGAATCCAAGATCTTTTCTACATGTCTGCTTGCTATCTTGCATTTTATTTCCGTTCTTTCTTACATCACTACCAATCATACTAGTGCATATTTGCTGCAAATGGAATTCATGTGAATTCATACTTATTGTTAGCGTAATCAAGCCAGAAAATAATATCGTTTGAATCACGTTACAAATCGTATCGGACAGAATAAAAAAAGTCATTTACAATTATCAACTGCATTTGATTCTATTCTATGGGAGTTAACATCCGGCTTCATTGTATCTGTCACGTTTTTCTGCAAGGAAAAACTTTGTTTCGTCGGAACGCATTGTTACGGTTGGACCTTCGATCTAAAATAGAATTTACAGTAAAAAAGAAGAAAAAAGAAAATGTTGCGATACCGGTAATTTTCTTTTGCATCATCAATTCTCTTCGAATGGAAATATCAGATTCGATTCATATATATTGGAATTACCCTAAAGTTTGAGGCAATCGGTGAACAACGTTACGTTTTGAAATCCCAGAAATAGTTTCTTCAATGAAACAATAGAAAAGTTCGCAGAACGGTTTGCCTGTATATCATTCTTCTATTGTCATACCTTCAATTATTTATATACAATTATCATCTTCGATAATTGCATGACCTGAAATGTTGGTAAATTTCGAGTTATATAATCCATTTCTATACTATTGTCCATTAGTTTCAAGTCACCATAAATTTCGTTTTATCGAATATTCTTTATGTTAAATCTATTGATAATGATCTTTAAAATCAATAATTTTCTAGAAAGTTAAGAATAGAGAAATATATTAAACGTCTTTAATGTTTATGTTTATGTTATTTTTTTAATAAAGATTTAATTAATTTAATAAAAGAAATTTTTTAATCAACTTACATAAGTCATGTCATTATTGATTATTTATAGATTTGCTTCTGGTAAATTACATAATATATCATCATTAATTTAATTTAAAAGTACTAGACAATAAATGACTTAAAAAAATAATTTTTGTTATTCTAAACTATATAAATCTTGCAAATTTCTATAATATTAAATAAAATAATATTTAATATTAATAATAAAAATTTCTTGGTAATAATATATATTTCAAGTTAAATATTAAATTGTACCAGTTTAGAGAAATTTATATCAATAATTACCTTTCATTCATGAATCTTTACAAAAGAAGTCTAATTGTGGATAAAAGTAATTTCAAAAATACAAATGTACTAAATAATTTAATTAGTCATGAATACTTGTAATGGAACTTGCTCATGTTGCACAGATTTCATAATTATCAGTTCCTGCAATTAATTTACCACTACAAAGAATGTCAAAATTACAGTGTCAGCATACATTTTCTTTGAATTACGATAACTTTTATCATTTTTCATTTATTTATTTATATGTTCTTATATATATGTTATTTATATATTCACTGAAATTATTATATTTCTTGTGTGTTCTATTTTATTTATCATTTTAAAGTTCAATATATTAAATATATGTTAATTTTTGAAAATAGTAACATTTAACATTTTTTATAAGATCATATATAATGTTATTCAAAGTTGGTTAGAAAGCACTCTGTTAAAATATGAAGTTCATGGATATGAAGTACACTTGAATTGGCTCAAGTAGTATCACGTGATTTTTAGAATTTCCAATTTCTCGGCCGATATAATAGTAAATATGTGTGCTTATACATAGTTCTTTGTTATCTATGATCGAACATGTATTGTCTGTGGCTGACAGTTATTTGCATTCTTTATAAATTCTTTTAAAACACGTAAATGTTTAAATCCGTTATCTCAGAATTCTTTTTCATGTGCTTGGCTAGTTATTTCTTTTCCTTTTTATCTTTTTCAAATTATTGATTAAGTATGAAACAAATATTTTAATAATTCATTTAAATAACAAATATATTATTGAATTAATTTAGTCACAGCAGTGTTGTATCAATATTATTGTTAATATTATAATTACTATATTTTTTACGAAAGATATTTAAATTTATATATATATTATATATTATATATTATATATATAATAATTTAATATGTATAAAAGTAAATATAGGATAGATTTATAGAATAGATAGATCTTATTGAAAATGATATACTCGAAAGAAAGATAATTTTTTAAAAAATTAAGATTTCGAAAAGAAACAAACACTAAATATTTATTTTGATTCTCAAAAATCGAACTATGTATTCTATATTATCGATTTATTTTTTTTTTTTTCATAAGAAATTATTCATCCAGTCTTTTGTGTATTCTTCATCTAGTTTCTTTTCTTATTCTTACTAAAACACTTTGTACAGTTCTTTCTAACTGAAACTTAAAAATGTTAAATTGTGCTGAATCGTGTTTATTAGATAATGGACAGATTATATTGACAGATTTATAATATTAAAATATTATATATACATTTCTTTTTAATATTCTCGTTTATTGATAAATAAATACTAATGATTATATCTTTCGAATTGGAGAATATTTATATCATTTTAAAAATAAGATTAAGAATATAACATGTAAATTATATAAATTATATGTATTTATTTCATTTTAGGAATGATTTACAAGAAATAAAGTTAATAAAGCAGCCGTTTTCATCGGACGAGGTGGCCGAGTGGTTAAGGCGTTGGACTGCTAATCCAATGTGCTCTGCACGCGTGGGTTCGAATCCCATCCTCGTCGATTTCGCTTTTTGTTACTTTGCAAAAATTTCTAATTCATAAACTATATGTTAGTAGAGAAAGTTGATAAAAAAAATTGATGGCTCTTTAATATTGAAGACATAAGAGTCATTGAACTTAAAAACTTTATTCCTTAAGAAAAACAAACAAGCAATGGTTTTAGTACGTACAAATTGAAACCAATGGTATTTTAAAATTATATTATTTGAATTATTCACTGTTATTAAGAAATACATACAATGTACAAAAATATTTTTCATTATTTCTTTTAATTATTTATGTGTTACAATGAATGTTGAATTTGTTATTATTATATTATTATATAGTATATATATATATATTAGATTTAATAATATAATGTACTGTATTCATTAATAACTAAATTAAAATGAATGTGAAATAATTGTTGAAATAATTATTTGTATAAATTTTTTTTTTAGGATGCAAAATATGTTAAAAATTTTAATATTGAAGAAATGATAATATGAAATTTATTTATTTTTTAAGTATTATTCCTTTGAAAAGAGTTATGATCGTTGATGATTTCTTGATGTTGCACAATCAATTATGTAAGTCGTAAATACAGAATGCACACGTTCGATCATGAAATTTTTTGTGTACTCGTTCTAATATACTTTAATATAATATTGATTCGAACAGATCAATCATCAAAAATCAATCAGATGTGATATTAAAAAAATTAAAAGAAATATAACAGAATAGACAAAAGTAGATCAGTAAATTTATTAACAAGTAATTAATAAATTGACTAACAAATAATTAATATGATTCCCTTAAGTAAAATCATTAGATATTTAGTTGAGTGCAATATTATGAGAAACAATGGAATTCAGTATATTTTTCTCAACATAATAATGTATTCCTGTATTAGTATAATTAATGTACTACGTATATAAAATAGTTAATTTTATATTACGGGAACAACAATTTATTTGTTTAATGAACCATAATAGCGATATTTCAGAGAAACATATTAGGTAATAAAATTATCTTTGTGCGTTATTTTCCATTGCTAAACAACAATATAAATATATAGAATAAAAGCTATTATAAAATTTAATGTTTTAAATTTATTAGTTTTGTATTTATTTAAATAGTTTATGTTTTGTTTTTGTTATATTTTCTTTAAGTAAATTTTCATTTTTATAAATATTTATGCATATATAAAATATTTTAAGTTATAATTATAAAATATTTATAAGTTATAATTATATTATCTTATATATAATATATTAATATTATACATAATTACATACATACATTAATATATATTTAAATTTTGAGTGAAAAACTCATAATTACAATTTTTCAGAAATCAAACATTTGTGACATAAAATAAAGATAGATATATATACATATATGAATAACTGAATGATTTATAACAAATAAATTAATAGGAATTAATAGGAATTAATCAACTTTATAATTATATATATATAATTGTAAATATAATAATTTACAATTTATAAACATGATTGTTGTAGATAAGATTTTGTATAAAATTTTTTGTATAAAAAATCAGTTTTATTGTTCCTTTTATTTGATATTATAGATTATAATAATTTTATTATAATAGTAAAAAGTATTGTACAAGTCAATTATTTTAATAAGTAAGGACAAACTAACAAGGACATGTCTTAGTTAGCATGCTTGTTGAACAATTTTTCAAGACAATTATTTTGCAAATTGTTACGAGCAAAGATATCGCTTTGATCAAGGCTATCAAATCGATAAAACAGTAGGAAATGTAATCACCTGTAGTCCCTTGTCAAGATTAGATTTATTTAAGCACACGTGCGTTAAAATAGTTGTTGCAGATAATATGCTTTTAAATAATTATTAATTGTCCTTAATTCGTATTTGTTTCTATTTTTGATCTATATAATGAAAATTATTTTTTTATTTTTAGAAAAATAATTTAGTCTGTTTGTATTATTTCGAAAAAATGAAAATTTAAAATTATTATTTTTTTCAATAAAAAAGAATAAATCAATAAACTGAAATTTTTAAACTTAAAATTAAATTATTAAACTTTACAATAAAAAGAATAAAAGAACAAATAAACAAATATAATTTGAAAAATTTTTTCATTATTATATCATTTAATAATAAAAATTATAATTTTAAATTTTATAATTTTTATATCAAAATATGTTATTTTAGAGCAAATAAAGCAATTTTATTAGATATAATAAAATATTCATTATAAACACATTTTCAAATGATAATACTATATCAGAAATGGTGCTTAATCATAATGTTCTGTTTTATCGACCTTACTTCTAAGATTAGTCATAACGTTATGTGATGTGAACACTTTTGTGTTCATCGTATGAAGGTAGTTGTTTTAATATAGATAATGCAAAAATGTCGTATAACAGAGGAAGCATCGGAGAGCAAACACCGTTGTTGAGTAAGTTTGACTTCCTAAGTAATAATTTGTCGACAACTAAATTTGCATCGTCATAAGTGTATTTATTCGGTATTTCATTATATTTGTGATATTGTGTACAATGGATAATCATGTAAAATTTATGAATCATTGTTTTTATACAATTTTTCAATTCATTTCTGTAAAGAATTTTATAATAATATATAAATTTTTTAATATTTTATATCTAAATATTTTTTTATAGTTTTTATGTAATAATTAAAAATCATAAACAAATGATTAAAATGAAACCGTGGATGAACGGTTAAAATGCATATCTAGAAATTAGATATTCTTTGGTTATGTGAGTTCGAATCTACTTGTGATGATAATATAAATATATATGAATACGATTATTAATTTTTTCTTTTTTCTCTTTTAATATTAAATATTTCTTCAATTTTAATATATTATTTATTTTAAATTATATTATATTATATTATATGAGATAATAGAATGAAATAATATATGATAAAAAATAAATTTATTTATTCTTTTAATCGAATTATAAATTTTATGATATATTATTAATTTTTCAGAAATTTTTAAAAAGTATATAAAATATTATCTGTGGAATTTATAGCAAATTTGTAAGTATATTTGATAACATAAAATAATCAATATAAAGATAAAAAATTATAAAGACATTATCTTATTTTTATCTGTCATATTTTATTTGAAGAATTGTAATTGAGATTATTATTGAAAATATTTTTTTAAAGTTTATTTACTTCTATTTGAATATAATTTATTTTATTAATTTCAGCTATTGAAGTTCATAACTTTTAATTTGATATTCAGTGCAGTGTATAATTAATTATAATAAGAATAAGAATATTTTTTTTAATAAGAATAATAAATATTTTTTTCAAATATTATATTGATATTTCTTATTATCATGAAAAATAGAATACATCATTATTTATAAGACATTCAATGTTTATAATTATAAGATTATAAAAAAAATTGTAAATAAAAAATTCAAGTCTTAATGAAATGTTAATGTAATTTAAAAAATTTGATTTTTTAATGAAAAAAATATTGTTTAAGAATATTATTGTTATTTTAATTGTTTATATTATTACGATTTTATATACCTATACATATTATTTTAGATTTAGGTTATTATTTTAAGTTATAAGATTTTATTTTTTTATTTAAATATTTTTTTGAATGAATGCACATCCTAGTTTCTTCTTCTTTTTTTTATAAATGTATTGAAATATACGATTAAAATTATTAAAAGTGTTATTTTTTAAATAGATGAATAGCAATATTATAGTAAAATATTTATAATAACTAGAATTAAACGATAGTTATTATTTTTGAAAAATTACAATAGGTGTTCATTTACTGTATTTCATATTTACAATATCAATTTGTTGAAAAAATATTTTCAAATTTAAGAATAATAGTGTATACAATGAACAAAGATATTATTTAAAAATGATATTTGGAATATGACTTTGGAATATGACATGGTATATGAAATATCATATGTTTCTTATTACATAGCATCATGACTTATATTTTATTGCTGAGTATTTATGGGAAATATGAAGACTATTATCAGTTTAATGTTAATTTAACATGTTTTACAATTTACAATATACTTTATTGATTTTTTTATATATTGATTGATTTTCTAATAATAATTGATATTTTTTTTTGTTTTTATTATTTTATGGATATATAAATTTTATTACTATATAAATAATCAATGTGTTGTTTATATCATTTGTTCAAAAATCATATATCAAAGAAATATTCCAAATGTTATTATGATATATACATAGTATGTGTCAAATCATATTTGTTATGATAGTGTGTTTATGTATTATATTTCGTTCTTCATTGAATAGTATACTAATATTTCATTGATGTATTGGCTCTTCATTGAAATTTTTATTATAAGTATGTTTTTGTTAATTTTTTTTTTACTTAATGTATATATCGAACTATTGTCATTATTTGTCACGTAAATAAATCATGTTATTAAAAAAAATTAATCATATTTTTATTGAAAATCATTTTCCAATTTTATAAAATTATTGTATTATTATTAAAATATATTTTTTATTATTTATATTTATTATTATTATTTATATATATTATTTACTTTGAGGTTAAAATTTAGATAAAAATTATAATATTTATTCTTTAATTGACTTGATTTAACTGTAAAGAAATTGTAGGTTAGGTTTTTATATAGTATGTGTATTACATATTATTACATGTTATATATATTACAAATACAATACAAAATTTAAATATTATAATATATAAGAATCATAAAAAATTAATCAAAATTCAACATTCTTCTGTTTTTATTTATCTTTTAAAGATTTCCCTTGCAAAATCATTGCGAGTATTATTATTAAATCATAGTCTTGAATGTTATTGAAAGGCGGATTAGGATTTTTTTCTTACGAAACTGTAATTTTACTGTCGTTATTAATCATGTGACTTGTTATCAAGAGGAATTATTAAACTCGTCCGATAAAATGTTTCATCCAAATTGAAATATCTCGGTGAATAAAGAAAGTCCCTCTATGCAGTGTCAATATATTGTCAGTTCGAATCTGTCTTATCTACAGAGTCTGGTAATCACATGTTATCTATATATTCATCTTATATCAAAAATTTATTTATACCGTACCTTGGTTACTTACCTGATTTTAATTGTGATCATATTTCATTAAGTATACTAGTGTAAAAATCGTGAATGTGAACAGTATAATAGAATACATCAATTGTAAATCTTCTTTTTTTTTGCACAATATATTGCATTTCGTGATTTAAATCAATTGTTTTATTGATCAAGAAAAGATTGTGTATTTAAATTATGGTACTATGTAGGTAGACATAAAATCAGTACGAAAAAAAAAATATACAGATATAAATATACACATATACATATATGTAATATATAATAGCATTAAATATATATAAAATATTTTTAGGTTATTGAAAAAA